ATTATTATTATTAATATAAACGTTTAGTTTTAGTATACAATGTAAATGCTGAATATGCAACATCTCTTTCCTTTAAAAAAAATATAAAGTATTTTGTATAGTGCTTAATTACTATGTTAGTATTTATTTATTTATTTTTTTTTTTTTTATATATACGAGTATTTATTATATAATATGATAACTGATATAATTAATAGTTAATTATTGCAATTATTGCCCTAAGCACAATCACTTGGAGAATATCGCTGAGGCGGTTTTCTAGATCTAATTGGTCTGGGTGTTTTATTTACTATTACGGGATCGGCCGGATCGGGATTTTGATTTTCACCTACTGTTTCAGTAATTTTAGAATTTTCATTTGCTTGTCTAGCTGGTGTAGGTGACAGTGAGTTATTTATTTGGTTGTGTGGCCATATCTGATCAGTGTGTCTTATCCATTCAGAACCCTCGTCTAGTATGATTTTATGAGTGTTTTTACTAATGTTTTCTGTTATTTTTCCTTTTTGCCAATTTTCATTTTTATTTCGATAATCCTTAACTAATACCAAATCACCCTCTTTTATATTAATATCTCTTTTTCCTGAATTTTTTATTTGTGTAATTTGGTTATTAATAACTACTTCATTTGTGTTTGGGATTAATAAATCAAAAATAGTACGTGTTGAGCGGCCAAACATAAGTTTTGCTGGCGTTTCATTTGTGGTTGAGTGTACAGTATTTCTATACATCAATAAAAATTTATTCAAATGATGTAATGATGTTGAACATTTATTAAAAAATTGCTTAACTATTTTTACTCCAGATTCGGCAAATCCATTTGAGGCTGGGTGGAAAGGTGCCCCTGTCAAGTGCCTGATACCTAGTGTCTTGCAATATGACTGGAATTCATCGCCATTAAAACATTTTGCATTGTCAGTTGTTATTGTTCTGGGAATGCCAAAACGTGCAATTAACTCAGACAGTTTTGTTATGACCGTTTGTGCTGTCATCGAATTTACTTGAAAAACTTCTAGCCACTTTGTGGTTGCATCGACAATAATTAAGAATGTTTTGTTTTTGTACGGACCTAAGAAATCGCAATGCACTCTCGTCCATTGTCTTTGTGGCCATTTCCACGGAGTTAGTACTGACTTAGGAGGATTAGGTCTCGCATTTATGCATTCATTGCAGTTTCGGACCATATCCTCAATTTCTTTATCTATACTAGGCCACCAGAAATACGAACGCGCAATGCTTTTCATACTCGACATGCCAATATGACAAGAATGCAGTTCAGTTAGAATTGACTTACGGAATTTGGTTGGTATGATTAATCTATAGCCCCAAAATAAACAATCTTGTTCAACAGTAATTTCTGTTTTGCGTGTTTTATACGAGTTTAATTCGGAATTTATTGAAAAGTCATTACTCCATGAACCTGTTTTTGTAGCGTGTAATACTCTAGAGGTAATTGGATCTCTTTTCGTTTCAATTTTAATTTTGTGCCAATCTAGCGGAAATGGTGACTGTTCGTGAATAAAATTAATGTGAGCGTCGTCATATTCATTAATATTATTGTTGCATTGGTTTGTTTTAATGCGTGATAAAAAATCAGCAGTATTTCCTTCTGATTTAATATACTTAATTTCAAAATCGAATGAAGAAAGACATGGGCGTAGCTAGGATTTCAATCAGGGGGGGGGCAGTGATGTAGCCAACTTTAAATCATTAAAACTCAATTTTTTTTTAAAGTATTTATTTATAATATATTATTCATTAATCATTATTTTTAAATTATAACAATGACAATCGTCTAGAGTCTTCGCAAAATCTGCTGAGAATTTTCTGTTGCATCTCTTCCTTTTTTTCATCTAGCAGCTTTCTATGCACACTTAGTATGCATAGACCTGAAATAATTTACATTGTATATGATTAATATTAATATAATTATTAATTAGCATTGATATAAAAAAACTATTTTGATTTACCATTCAGACGGTTTTCCGTCATCGTTGAACGCAACCAAGTCTTTACCCTTCTTAACGTACTGAATGACCTCTCAATAGTGCTAGTTGTACATAGCTGAGCTAAAGAAATATGCAAGGCTTGTTTTATTTTAGGAAAGAAAATATCTGTTTCTTCTACTACTTCACTCATTTCCATGTCTGATAGTTTGCTTTTAGCCAGTTTTTTCTCCTTCCAGATGTTGTACCATAATTCTGCTTCACTTTCCAAGTCTTTAATTTGGTAATAATTGGCAAAATCATTTATTTTAAGTTTAAATTCTTTGGTGTTCATATCTAACATATTTGAAGGGTGTAATAATAAAAATGAAAAAGCAGGTATGTTTTCATCAGAAAATCTCCGTTCCAATGAGGATATTAATGAATCCAAGTATGGAATTAGTAATGATCTCTTCCAGAATTCAGCCGAATTTAACGCTGGAGGATTCGAACGATGTTGTTGTTGTTTAACAATCCTAGGAAGATTAATTTCTGCTCCTATATTCTCAGCTGCTATGTTTGCAGCAGTTAATAATTCTTGAATTTCTGTGTCAGCGTGTTCGCGGTGATCTTTCACTATGACTACTATTTTTTTTATAAAATTTGAGCATTTCAGCAAATCCAGATTTTTTGATTGTAAAGCATTCACAACAGTCTCTAATAATTTAGAGTATTTTGCTATGAGGATAACACTCATTATAAAAATACTTTTATTTGCTACAGCATACAATTGAAAAGCAACTTTTCTTGTTGCAGTGTTCCCATCTTTTGACAATTTATCTAAAGCATGTACAATTATCTCAAAATTTTCTTTGAAAATTGAAATACTTCTATATTTTTGAGACCATCGTGTCTCACAGAATGCTGGTATGTTCGGGATACATTTTCTACGTAAAACAGATTCGCGAAAAAAGTTTATGATATCCTTTACCGTTGAAATTGTGTTACGTATTTCTGGAACACAATTTAAATCATTGACCACCAAGTTTAATTTATGACTTGCACAGTGAAAAAATAGAGCATGTGGATATTTTTCTCGTAAAATTGTTTGCACTCCATTGATTTTCCCTGCCATAGTTGCGCAACCATCATAGCCTTGTCCAACAAGCTTCGTTCCATCGAGATCTTCGTTTTGAATAAAATGATCTATTGCACTAGCTATGTTAACAGCATCCATGGCATGTAGTTCAATGAAGCCTAAAAATTCTTCTCTGATAGCCCTTTTCTCATCATCAAAAAATCTAATCCCAATAGACAATTGCTCTGTTCCTGAGATATCAGCGGTCTCGTCTGCCATTATACTGAAAGCTACAGCCTTTTTAACATCATTAATAATACAATCTTTGATTACTGTTCCACTTATATTGATGATTTCATTCTGAATTTGCGGAGATGTGTAGATGGCATTTCGCTTGCCCTTTTCGATATGGTTTTGGAGATACTGATCACCAGCTTCAATTCGCATTTGAATTAAGTCATAGAAAACTCCTACATCAAAAAATTATCAAAAATAAATAATTTAAATAATCCAATATTTTATAAATTTAATGATTTTATTCAATTACCTTCATTTTGACCTTTTCCTCTAAAGGGTAGATCATGGGTTCCGCAAAATAGTACATTTGAAATTATGGACGAAATAATTTTTCGATTTTGTTCTAGTACTTTTTGGTGTCCGGATACCATCATAATATTTATAGGTACTTCTTCCATAAAACTTTTAGCTGCTTCGGTTGCTCCTTGGTGCCAATTATTGGAAATATGGTTTCTACAGCCCTCGTGAATGTCTTTGTATCGTGTAAAAGGTTTGATGATAAATGAACCTAAAACACCTTGGACTTTTTTCGGTGGAAACAGAACACAGTACAAACAAAGAGCTCCTTTCAGTATTTTCGAATACGCAAGCCAAGGAGCATAGGCCTGTAACCAACTATGGTTAAATTTTCTCTTTGATCCAACAGCAATAGCATCCTCACTAAAGTTGTAATTTTCTGGTGGCGTCCAACAACGTTTCAAGATATCCATTTTTTGAGATGTTGTTAAATGATTAGACCGTCCCACCCATTGACCTATGTCATTTTCAAAACGTTCTTCATTTGTAAGCTTTTTAGAAGTTGAAGGATCTGCATTTCTGGTATTGCGATCATAAGAAGTGGAAGGTTCGTTGGAGGATTTGGGAATTTTATATATTCCTTCATGTTCATCACTTCCGCTACTACTTATTTCTGGCAATTTTCTCTTTTCTCGACCTTAAAAATTACGAAGACTTATGAAATAATGCATTAAAAATTTGTTTGTTGTTGATAATTTATTAATAATAAATTATAAACATAAAATATGCGCTATGACACAGAAAAAGTTGTTTCCTATGTATTGTGGAATTTTGGTAATTCTACTATAAATACCAAGGGAGTGGTTTTGTCCCGCGCAAAACAGTTTTTCGCTATATTGTATGCTTGTAAGACGAAGACAACGCATGCGGGTATAGCGTCCTCTTAATATATCATAGTTGCGGCAGGCGGCGGTCACAATACATAGTGTATATATTATATAAGTAAAAGACTTTGTACTTATTTATTTTACTTTGTAACTATTTATAATTCTAAAACAAGATATGTACTTACCACCAAAAAACTTTCTTATGTCCATCGTGTAAAATAATATTAAATGTAAACGTTATATATTATATTCGTTACTTACGCGAACACAGAACGGCACGTACTGCTGTCTGCTGCACTTGATTGTTGACACTATCACTGTTGATATTAATGTATAAAGCACATAACGATTAGCGTTTAACTCATAATTCAAATAATCTTTAGATAGACTAATCGATAAAATATAAAACGATTACACGTGTAGATATCACTCGGTCCCACTAAACTATTTTTAGACTTCATGTACTTATATCATATTTAATATTTCAATTTTAACGTAAAACTTACACGTGTGATATAAGAAATACAATTTAGTTTGTAGTGCAGGGGGGGGCACTTGCCCACCCCTGCCCCATACTCGCTACGCCCATGAAGAAAGAACGTATGCCCAACGTTGTAAGCGATTTGCCGCATAAATTGGTATTCCTTTTTTTTCTCCAAATATGTGGATTAACGGTTTGTGATCAGTAACTAATGTAAATTTTCTACCGTATAAATAATCGTAAAATTTTTGAACACCAAAAATTATGGCTAGACCTTCTTTTTCGATTTGTGGAAATTTGCATTCACTGTTTGACAATACTCGTGATGCATATGCAATTGGTCTTTCTGAGTGGTCAGGATAAGTGTGCGATATGATTGCACCTAGTGCGTATGACGAAGAATCGACCGTGAGTTTTATGGGAAGTTTTTGGTCATAATGTGCTAACACAGGACTTGAGATAAGCATTTTTTTTAAATTAATAAATTTTTATAAATTAATTATATGCTTGATCACATTCTGGTGACCATAGCCATTTTTTTTCTTGTCTTAGTAATGAGTATAACGGTTTAAGAATGTCCGATGCTCTTGGAACAAATTTAATGTAATATGTTACTAAACCTAAAAATGATTTTAACATAGTTTTATTTTCTGGAACCAGGGCAGATTGTATTGCATTTGTGTGTTTAGTTATGGTGTGCAAGCCATGCTCATCGATTTTATGACCTAAATATTCAATTGAATTTTTGAGAAAACTACATTTGTTTTGTTTAACCCTTAAACCAACTTCGGATAAAACGTTAAGTAATTTTTTTAATCTATTATTGTGTTCTTCTACCGTTTTTCCCGCAACTATTATGTCGTCTTGAAATATACCAATCCCTTCTAAGCCTGTGGTTGATATTTCCATGGCTTTTTGGAATTCCCCAGCTGAGCTTTTTATTCCGAACGGATTTCGAGTATAACTGAATAGGCCTTTGTGAGTATTTATTGTAGTGTATTTGCGATCACTCTCTTTAATTACCATTTGTTGATATGCATCTTTGAGATCTATTTTAGAAAAATATTTTGAGCCACTTATATTCGCATAAAGATGTTCTATTTTTGGTAAGGGATACTCAGTTCCTTCCAATACGGGGTTGATTGTAATTTTGAAATCTCCACAAATTCTAACTGTACCGTCGGGCTTAAGAATTGGAACAATTGGAGTGGCCCATTCGCTGTAGTTCACGGGAGTTAAAATATTATTATCTATTAAACGATCAATTTCCGACTCTACCTTAGATTTTAGTGCTAAAGGAATTGACCTTGGCTTGAAAAACTTGGGTATTGCCCCCTTTTTAATGTTTAGTGATATTTGGTATTTATTAAAGGTGCCGATTTCATTTTTGAATAAATGCTCGAAATTTTTTAATATATTCTCTATATTTTCGTTTACATTTATAGTGTTATAAATGGGAGAATAGTTTATTATTTTTAAATCATTTCTACCAATTAATGGCGGTCCTCCGTTTTGTATTACGTAAATGCACATTTTAAAAGACTTTTTCAAATATTTAGCATTTACTATTAATTTTCCTATTGGGCTTATATCATTTCCGACGTAATCGCGTAGTGAAATATCGTTTGGTAATAAAGTTAAATTATTAAAACTTGTATCATATAATTGTTTTGACATTACACTATGCACAGCCCCCGTATCTATTTCAAATTTTAAATCTTTATTTTCAATTAATAAATTGATAATGTAGGGTTTTACTTTATTTTGAAAGTTATTTTCAATCATATTAAAAAAAGTGTCAGATAAATTGTACGCGATTGCGTCATCATGAATATTTTCATTCGTGTTATTACCAGAATTTTCGGATAAAAATTTATTGTGTGAGCGGTTATCATAATTTGGTTTATTGTTCTTACTTTTACACATAGGAGCCAAATGACCTTTGATATTGCAAATATTACAACTGTAGTCCTTGTATCGGCATTCTTTTTGTGTGTGGTTTGATCGACCGCATGTTCCACATTTTGATTTTTCCGTGATTGACTGCTTGGCTGATTTTGCTTGCTGACTTTGTTTTTGATATTTGAAGTCAGCTTCTTCCTTTATCCATCCGGTTTTATTGTTGATTGTAGATTCTTTTGCAGCGGAAATTTCCATAAGGTGCGAATATGTGATGCTTATTTTTGAGGCATCTTTCTCTAGTAATCGATCTTGAATTGGTCCCGCGTTCATACCAACAACAAAAATGTCACGGATTACAATTTGTAATTCCGTTGAAAAATTACATTTTGATGCTAGGTTCTTTACTCTTGCTCCCCATTCAGCTACAGTTTCGTCTGGTCTCTGCTTTGCGTTGTAGAATGCATATCTTGATGCGAAGTACGATTTCACTGGCTTGTAATAATTGTTTAACAAACCTAATAGTGTGTCGTATGTCTGAACGTCTGGTTTGGCTGGAACGCATAAACTGAATAATATTTTGTGAACTTCCTCACTAATTGAAGATAGTAGTATAGCTCTCTTCTGGACTTCGTTACTTATTCCGTTTGCAATAAAAAAATTTGTAAGTCTTGATTCAAATATTGTTATGTCGTTTCCAGATTCAAATGTTCCTGGTGAACCTATTATATTATGGAATTGAGTAATATTTTTGTTATCCTCACCCATTTTATAAATATTTTAATTTAATATGAGATGAGTTTAAAAACTTTTATCTTCGTCGCCAATTTGTTGTGTATTGTTAATATGAATAATAACACAAACGTATATTATAGTCTTTTATTGTGAAAAGTATAAAACGAACTGACGTACATTTAAAATTGTCTACTTGCTAATGACCGATGGACAATCCCCACCGATCGTAATATGATACTTATGATTATTATTATTAATATAAACGTTTAGTATACAATGTAAATGCTGAATATGCAACAGTGTTCATAACAGAGGTCTCCAAACGATTTTATTCAAAAGTCATATAAAAAAATTAAAACGAAATGAAATGTCATTAACGAATGATTTACAATTATAACTTATAACTTATATGTTATAACACATCCTAGAGACCTATAAAAGTTATTACCTATAAAACTAACTTCTACCTTTTAAAATCGTTGGAAACTTCATTTGAATGTTATTTCAATAAATATTTTATAATTCAGGGCGAAGCACCTCAAAACAATATTGAAGCAGAACGTGAAAAAGATTAAATTGATGATTCAGACGAAAACTTAGTTGTATTAGAAAAAGAAGAGGGAAAAGTACTTAGAAAATGTAATATATAGAGACGCCAAAATATCAATGGGTAAAATGCATATTATTATATAATAATAATATGAAAAAAAAAATCACTACAACAAGACTTTTAATATTTTAAACTAGTATCAAAAATGCGGTGGCTAATCGAAAATTTCAACAAAAAATGATAATACAACCACCTGTTGTCAAGAAAATTGAAAACAGTGAATTTGAACTAGGCAATCTTATTGAAGAATTGAATAACTTTATAGAAGGTAAATGTTTAATTTTCCATTCAAATGAATATGAACGTGAATGGATCGACAAAAATGTCAATCAAGATAGATTGTCTGAAGTTAAAAACATATTAATTGAAATAAATAAAAAATGCATGGACATTGATGATAAATTTAAAATAACCAGTAATAAAGAAGATATACTGGTGATTCAAGAAGATATTTTTTCACTAAAAAGTAAATCTTAATTAATGTAGTCTAACAAAGTAGAGATTACTATAAGTAAGTACCTAAATTGTTTTTTTTTTTTTTATTAGAAGAAAGTTTAGATCTTCTTTAGAAAGACAAAATTATTGATAAACTGTTAGAAGGACTAGAAAAATTGTTAACTAAATCGTTTAATGAAACAACTTCTAATACAAATGATCTGGATAAATTGAATGAAATTGCGAACAATAAATTGCACATCCTTAAAGAAGAGCATAAAAAGTATTATTTAGCTATTACTGTAAGTAAACATTAAATAATAATAGTTACACACTATAACACATGATATGTTATCATATCCATACACATATGATATAAATAGACAATATGATAGTCATTATTTATACCGAATCGTATACAATTTAAAGAAATTGATTGAAGATACAAAAAATGAAAAAAATAACAATGATTCTGCTAAATGGAGACTTTTGATGAACAAAATCATTAATAAAATTTCAAGTGCATCATTAAAACGGTTGGTATTAATTGAAAATAATAACCTTGAGTTATTAAAGCAATTTAAGACCAATGAAGAGAACGCAAAAATCTTTAGATTAAAAACAACTGAGAATTATATTGTAAGTAATAAATACAAAAATATTTCAAACTACATATATATAATAAAATAATTATATAGGTACATAATACATATAGATATATTTTATTAATTCACTATTCATACACTGTAGTACTGAACACTATATATTAATTATTAGTATATAGGTGGTATCCTATAAAGGGGTTTTAGTTTAAACAATTGAGTCACTTATAACTTGTAAGTTGAAGGAAGGGCCCAATTCTAACTATCTCAGTTTTTTCAGTAGACAAACAAACATATTATAAGTAGAACTAATTTTTTACATAAATACTTTTGTGCTAGACTTAAGAATTAGCTGATAATATATAACAGTGATTGTCTTTGGGAGGTCTTTGGGAAGTGCAGGGGGGATAGAGTACCCCAACTAAATGTTTAGAAATTTTAAAGTATTCATACGTTTTTCAAATAATAAATTTGGACACTTGAAGACTTTGTTTATTTTATGTTTTTTTACAAAAGAACAATGTTAATATTTTTCTATAAAATAATATAGTATTTTAGTTCATATGGTATTAAACAAATATAAATATCAACCGGCCGATCCAAAATATATTTTGCTGGCGTACACAAAACCATTTCACTGCGGTCCACACGATTTATTGCTACCCATTTCCACATTACGTCAAATATGTGGGAACAGTGTACCTATGATTGTTTACACTGTTAAATGTATTTTGTTAATTCCATTTAACGGCATCTTTTGCCTCCCTCTGTCTTTACATTTTTTTGTTATACCATATTATACTCTGTCTAACGAGAGAGCGCAACAGCTGGTAATAGTGGCACTATACATGGGCCTGGTGGTGGGAGATGCGCGGACTATAACGAGTTTTGATCGCCGCCTAGTTGAGCTCTCTCGTTGGACAGAGTTTAGAATTCAGATCAGATTATAGACAAGCAGTATTATTATTTAAGTGTCACATTTTATTTTATTATAAATATATATTGAGGTTATGATTGAAAGTTTAAAAGTAAGAAGTACCTATTTTAAATATTAAGTTATGAAACGTTTGTTTGTTCGCCCCCTACGGTTATTTTCAGTATTTTAATTAAGTATAGGTAAGGACGCCAACTTTGAATGTGTAATCAGAGTACCTACGTCTATTATTTATTTTTCAAGTTAAGCACTAAATATATAGTATCAATGTACAATATACGTACCGTTACCTATATTACATTCATGTATGATGTATGAGTTGCGTATTATAGGAAGTTGATACCGATTTGGAATTTGTTAAAATCAGATGTTCAACAAATATAAAAAAACTTAATTATAATTGCCATGTTTTAAAAAAAAAAAATAGAAGATAATAATTTTAGAATAGTAAATCAAAAAAGAAGAATTAATTTGTAAGTATTTATATGGTACAAAGATGTACCTACCTATTATTATAAAGTATAAACACTACGTTTATTAATAATACAACAAACCCTAAATTTTTATAAGAAATAGTGTATACACTGAGAGAAAAATGTATTAAAATCGAATCTGACGCTACAACCCAAAAATCTACAGTTGAAAAACAAATTATAAATAATATAAACAAAAAAATTGATCAGCAAGAAAAAAG